TCGCCCTTCGAAAAGAAGTTGAACAGGTGAGACCATAATATTATCTTCTCCTACGTGTTTACTCATCACTTAATTTTACAATGAAAGCTGGAAAGTTTCAACTTACCATGGCAATCAATGCGACGCCAATCACCTCTACAGTCACTACCATCGCAGGAATACCTTGCGAGCACAAATTTAATTTGATCATCGCAGATGCGTAAAGACTATAATGAAGGGTTTTTGGTAAGATGTGATGCAAAAACAAAAATTCGCAAGATGTGACACAAGGTATTTTATAAAAGGAAATTTATCTAAATAATAACGATCTCAAGCTATTTACACAAAGATTTGAAGCTATTTATGCAACGACCTAGTGCTATATATCTCGATGTAAAGCTATTTATCACGATCTAAAGGCTATTTATGACAGTGTTTTGCACCTTAAGCAATGCTAAAGGTTGTAGGTTTAAACGATCTGAAGATAGTTATCTCATTCTAAGATTTTTTATCACGATCTAGGGTCAATTATGAATATTTGTCGCAAATAAAGCAAATGCCTCATATAGCACTCATGCTCCTGATTTCGTTTGCTCATTCCTGCACTAACGTAAAGAGAATTAATGGAAGACTTGAAGGCGAAATGATGGTCTACAGGAAAGGCAGCTGTCCAAGAACTTAAAGAAGTTGCACTTGCGCAAGGTAAATGCGCTGTCGTGTCTTCGAGAGGTAGGACAGATCGTTTACTACAGTGTAACAGTGAGAGATCGGGTTGCGAATGGCATATGAGATTATCACGATTCAGGAACAAACATGGCCCAGGTGACTGGCATGTGACGGATGGAAATCTGGATCACCAGAATTGCGTTAGTGTCGGGAAGCCTTCAACGTCTCAACTAGTCACCGGCTCTATAGTCCGTGGTTTATTGTCTGCAGAACCGACCACGTCCGCAAAAATTTTGGTAGATCAACTTCGTCACCAATCCAAGATGACTGCGTCCTATCATATGATGTATCGTGCTAAGGAAACGATAAAAAAGCTGTTTTCAAAAGATTCAACGAATATTACTCTTTTACCAAGTCTACTGTCGAAGTTTCAGCGTCTGAACCCAGGAACACTTACGGATCTTCAATGCGACGAGAAGGGGCACTTCCGCCGGGCAATCGTTGTACTTAACCCGAAGTGGTTTTTAAATAACCAGGGGATTTTTGGTGTAGATGCAGCTCACATGAAACATCGCAAATACAACGGGGTTCAGATTGTATTGGACAGTCGCGACGGAAATTTCAGAAACAAAATTGCTGCAATTGGGCTCGTCCCTGTTGAAGACTACGACAATTACTCGTGATTTTTTGCCATGTCATATAACATGGTTTCCCACTGACTACAAGTCCCGTCTTCAGTGATCGAATTGCTGGCCTGGTATCTGCCGCCGAAAAGCTCAACATTTTTAAATGTTCTGCATTCGTCACATTTCAGGTACGGAAACAGCCAAATTATCAGCAGTTTTGTTCTAACTTGTCATGTATTTCTGCACAGGTAATATGAGAAATGACAAAATGGTACGGCTATTGTTCACCCAAGAGAAGTTCGTATGGGAAGCGAATGCCGCATCAAATCGATCTGATTTCGATATCGCGATGACTAAACTATACGCGATAACCCAGCTAATGCTATCTCTTTGAATGCGGTACCACTTCGTAAGTGAACACTTCACGTACATTAAGAAGCAGCTCCGCTTTACGGATCGCGAACGACCAACTTTGTTGAGAGTGAGCAAGCAAAGAGTCTCCGCCTGAAGCCACAGATTATGATGCCGTACGAGTTCTTCAAGGCCTAAACGACGATTATGATGGATGGGTGTTACAAAAGGATTCAATTGGGTATGCTATGGAGGAAAGAGGGACGTACAATTACGCCTCGGGCTGAACAAAAGTTGCAGAAACAATTTATGGATGCTGCAAGGTATGGTGTGACGTTCAGTTCTGAAAGCGTAGCATTCGTCGCTCGATTCAGCAATCAACTGGAGCAACACCGTGTTGACATCAAGAAAGCTTCATGCTCATGTGAAACATGGAAGCAGCACAAAATTTCGTGTTGCCATTTGATCGCGACCTTAAGGGCGGTCGATAAGCCTAAGGTTGCGTACGAGCTGATGAGTAATTGTTACAAAGTTGCGGCGTATTAAGCAAGCGTCGGTAAGCTTGAGGTTGCCGAGGAACACGTGCTAAAGCGTGATTTAAGTATCCTACCCGCAGTTTATATTCGACAAGCCGGGCGCCCGAAGAAAAGACGTATCAGGTCATAGGGTGAGTGTGGTGGTAAAGCAAGGAAGGCTTACAAATGTAAGCGGTGTGGTACATCGGGACACAATAGGGCTACGTGCCTCTTTGATTGACGTTAGACTACCGAGATGGATCATCGTAGCGCTGTGATATGGTTTAATATGAATGTGGTTGCAATCAAACTTAAAGATATATTGTGACTGTGATATTGCTGCTGCAGTATCGACTTTTTGCTAATGTTACAAGTTATGATACAGATGACAGCACAGGTATCGAATCTCATTATCATTAAGGACATAACGAATATCTTCACCGAGTTTTTTTTCTTACAGTATCAACACGTAGGAACTACGTCTCGATTATGTTGACTGACTATTCGAAGTACTCTGATCGGTCGATCGTTGCGGTAGCCTATAGCTGACATCTGGTCGGCGCCTTGGGATTACAATGGATCTATCTGCTCGCCTGCTTACTGCTGCTTGTCCTTCTTCTCAAACGTGACGAAATGGCTGCAACGTCCTTCGTGTAGCTCTCTTTGTTTATTTAGCCGTCCTTGTCAAGGTAACGCACACTGCTCAAATCCTCATTTTTCTGCCTGCTCGTCCTGTTGGCATGGTGGATGCAGACGGTAAAGTACAATTCGGTGTGGGGAAGCGTTGTTCGCACGAAAATGGTCGTATTTGCCAATCCCTACAGTTCAATCAACCAAGACATCAGCAAATAATCGACAAAAATAGAGTACCGTCAGCCAGTCCGTTCGTACCAATCGCGTCAGACTGATAAATCTCCACAATCGTGTCATTTATTAGATTTTTGACGGTAGTGTAATCGCCCGTCTCGATGTATTAATCTGTCCAAAAACCCATATCAGTCTTTCATCAGCAATCGAAAAGCACCCCATTATTCATGCAGACCAGCAGCAAACTGAAACAATCTCCACTAGTAGTACGTACCACTGAGCATTATCTCCCCGTCCAGGTCCTTCGTTCAGCCCCTACGACGGCAGCGCTGCTTGATGCGCCCATGCTCTTTGTGCTCTGGTTACGTGGCATTTTTGTTGTGGGGCTGTCAAGCGTGTTCTTATTTACTCGCATACCTACTGAATAACGGTTCAATCGATACGAAATTTGATAGGCTTGCGTCGGGTAGTCCTGCTGACTACTGGAACAATCTATACTTTATCAAACGTGCAGCAAATCAGGCCTTAATTAAGATAGCAATCATTTTGATCGTGGTAATGTGAATAAATTTCCTTTGATAAAATACCTTGTATCACATCTTGCAAAAATCTTGTTTTTGCATCTCGTCTTACAATAAGCCCTAAAATTAAGCGATTTTGATGTCATTGGCACCTCCATCAAATCCGTTCAGAAAGACGTCTTGTTGCGTACCACATGAATGAAGCTTTGCATGTCCTTTTTGAAGAATTACGAGACCGACACACAGATTTTTTCGACACCGGAAAGAGGCAGTCGTGGATGAACTGACGTGAAATTTTTTGGATTCATTCAATAGAGATAACTTTCCATTTGCCTTTTTAATAGGTACCAACGCCGTTTAAACTAGCATATACCACAATCCTTGAAGAATAGAAGGTTGCCCGATGAAAGGACGAAGCGGAACGAGCACTGACTTTAATACAATAACACCCTTCTCACTTTGTAACGGGGTGAATCGTTGCATAACAATTTGTAAGAAATTGTTTATAGAATATAACTATAAGAGTTAAACATTTTCAGAATATTGTTTAATGGACAACATCTAACAACAGCACATACGAGTAGTTCCTAATTTGTTGATATAGTCCATTATATCTACCAACGAAGACGCGCCACGACAGACGCACGCAATGAGTGGTGAGCAGATAGTTGATTTACACCTTTGTATTTAGACATAGTTAGATGAAGATGAATAGTGATTTATTGACAGACATTAACTATTATAAATACAATTCCACTTTTTGCTTTAAACAATCACTCGCTTCTTCTTACCGTCTTCCTCTGCACGTAGCAGTGTACGTGAAGTTACGCGGCACCGCCTTATTCTGTCATTAGAATAAGTAGCTTGTACTGTCATCAGTACAATCTTAAGGGTGCCCTGTTACAAACTTTAAACACGTAAGTGATACCGTCTAGGAAGAGAGAGGCTTCATCGTGCGGTGCTTGTCATCAAACGGGACACCGAAATTCATTTGCAGCGTGCCCGGTCAACGTTTGAGTCGAAGTTAACCTCTTGCGGCAATAAATAGTCACCCTGTTGCGGATCCTTACCAACAGCAACCACCGTTCCAACACTGAGATCTGTAGAGTATTTTCTATACTAGAAAAAGGAGCCGTAATCACACTAGAGCTAAATTACTATGAAACGCATAAGAAGCAGAAGCTCGTGCGTTTAAGTAAACAAGTGTTTTTTTGGCTGCGGTGCATTATTGCAATGATCTTTTTTAGCTCTGCTTAGCTGGATCAACGGTCGGTGGCCGTAGTAGTTTTGTCGGTGGCCGTAGTAATTCTGTCGGTGGCCGTAGTATCGGTGCCTTCTAGCAACCCTCTTTATTATAAAAAAATAGTAATAAATCAGTTGATATCGTAATGCTTCCTCCCTCCACATCATTGACGGCGACAACTGGCCTTAGCACCTCCGTAAAATATATTCCTGTAACAATTGAAAGTGGCAGTTCCCTAACAAGCCATCACTATGACGTGATTCTGCAATCGCCGCCGCCCCAGTCGCAGTCCATGCGGCTGCGACTCCGTAAACGAGCTGCTAGCCACTCGTCTCTATCCACTGCAACAGCCGAACAGCTCCGTCGACGAGTCGCTCGTGTCAAGAAAGCCAAGCGCCCCAAAGAGGTGCGTGTGTTCAAGCGGCGGCTGCAATTGGCAGTCCGCGTAGCCGTGGGCGTCCTCTTGGCTGGGGTCGTGCAGACACATGGCGACGAGCGCGAGTGGCTCTTTTTGCCTGCCAGTTACTACCTCGGAGGACTCACGGTCGCCTCGATGATGGTCATCTACGCGGCGGCAAACACCGTCGGTGGCGTGCTCGAACAAGTGTGGCAGATCGACGTCGGGGTCGCGATCGCGCTCCTGTACAACTTTGTCGTCTTTGCCTGTGTGCCCATCAAGCAAGGCAATCTCTTGACGGTCTCCAAGAATCTCAACGGTAGTACGTACTACGTGAGTCTGCAAGACTGGGGCATCACTCTGCCTCTGCTTGCGCTTTTCACCTTGGTAGTTCTGCTCTTGCCTATTGTACGACCACTTTCGTGTGTATAACAACCAGACAACTACTTCTCAGTGCTTAAAAATAAAAAGTAGTATTAATAGTTAAGACAACTGCTAAAATGCATATATAAACCCCCTCATAAAGTGATCGCTCATCCAGAATGTTCGAAGAGCCCTGTCCCTGCAAGTATTCATATACACGGCACACAATTCATGTCGTGGTACGTAAACCTCAACACTCCCCTTCAACTTGCACTATCATGAATTCCACTAGAATCACGCAGACGTAGCAGTTGTGGTGCACTAAGGGGCTTTGTTAGGTAATCAGCAAGCTGCATAATAGACGGAACATGTTTGAGCTGAATTGTGCGCTGCTCAACGTAGTCTCGGACGAAATGCACCCTCAGATCAATGTGCTTGGCTCTTGGCGTATATCCTTGATTTGTCGCAACGCTTATCGCCGACTTATTGTCCATGTGCACAGTGGTTGCACTCGTGCACGCGACACCCATTTCCATTAGCAAATAGCGAATTCACACAATCTCTTGAGTAGCTAGTGCCATACTCAGCTTCAGCCGAAGACAAAGCCACCGAGCTTTGTCTTTTGCTCTTGTATACACCAACCGCGTTTCCGAGCAAAATTAAAACACCAGGGGTCGAGCGACGAGTACTTTTGTCACCTCCCCAGTTTGCATCACAGTAGGCGCAAAGCATGAGTTTATTGCTGTCCGATCTCTTGTATACAATCCCGTGTGATTGTGTTCCCATCAGGTAATGCAAAACGCGCAACTCTGCACGCCAGTGCATCTGTTTTGGCTTCTCCAAATACTGCGATAACACCGACATCGTGTAGCTGATATCAGGTCGCGTAGCATTCGCGATGTACATCAGGGAAACCACCATTTTTCGATACAAAGTTTTTTTTAAATCACACTGCGAGTCAGTAGGGATCAAATCTTGACCAGCGATAATTGAACTGCGAACGTCGTAAGCACCATCTTGTTCGAAATCCGTGATCATCTTCTTGATAAATTGAGTCTGTTTCAAAACCAGCTCTCCCTTTTCTAGAGATTAGTTCACCTACACACCCAAAACAAATCACGCAGCTAGAAGCGTTTTCACCGAGAAATGAGCTGTCAATTCTTTAAAAATTCCATCAGCCTCTGCATTCGACTTGCATCCGATGAGAATATCATCCACATACAGCACTATGTACGAAAGTGACTTGACTTTAGTACTGGGACGTCGAACAAAAAGACAAGTGTCCGCACGACACTGTACAAAGCCTAAAGTCACAAATACAGAGCATGTCTTCTTGTACCAAACTGCTGCGGCTTGTTTTAAGCCATACAAACTTCGTCTTAGCTTGCAAACTGATCCAGACGTAATTTTTATCCCTGGTGGTGGCTCCATGTAAACGTCTTCTTCCAAGTCTCCATTTAAAAAGGCATTTCCACATAAAATTGTCGTATCACATATTTCATACTGCAGCAAACCGCAAGAAACGTGCGAATTGTGTTTGAGCAAGCAACCGGTGAGTACGTATTGAAGTAATCATAACCATGCGTTTGCAGGTATCCAAGAGCAACCAAACGCGCCTTACAACGCACAATTTCACCATTTTCATCAAACTTGTGCCCAAAAACCCACTTGTTTCCAATAACCTTGACACCAGTTGGGCGGCGAACAACATCCCATGTGTGATTGCGTTCATGAGCTTGAATCTCGGTCAGAATTGCTGCGTTCCATTGCTTTGACTCTGATGACTGTATTGCCTCGTTGTAAGTCGTGGGTACAACAGTGGCAGAAAGCAAAATTTCGTAATCATTCAAACATTGACGTTTAGCTTCAGGCTCGACTACGTCAGCATCATCCTCATTATCCGCTACAGTTCCACCTGTCAAGAGTGGTAAATTTCCACGACCATGTCCAGAATTATCTATTTCAAGCAAACGAGGGTACGAATCGTCACTTAATAGTCTTTTACACGACCCAGTGTATACCTCAAGTCTGTCCTCCTGGTTGTACTGCTCCTCACGCGGTACAATTGCATTTGAGCAATCGCAAATGTCTTGTAGCATGTGCGTGCGCTGATGACCCTTCTCATCAACGCCTCCACTTAGTGTGCGCAATTCTCTAATTGTTTCACCTGTCCGCTCATCTGTACGCTCCCCTTCAATCGGAACAATCTCCAGATTTCCCGACCTGTTGTCCTTGCCATATAAATCCACAACCATGTCTTCCTAGCTAGGGTCAACATCATCTGCTCCATCAACTTCCATGTCTTCCGCATCATGAGAATCCGCTGAAATGGGTACATTAACCGCAATTTCGTCTCTATCATCGTGCGGTTGTGTGATTTTGACACAATTTTCACTCACAACAAAATTATTGTATCGTGAAGGAGTCCTTTCGTCCAGTGTGACAGAACAAGTCACTACCAACTGTTCTCGATCCACATCCCACACACGGTACGCCTATGATGTCTCCGAGTAACCCAGAAAATGCACTTGTTAGACTTGTTGTCCCATTTGGTCCGCTTGAAACCCGCTACTCGTGTATGACCAGTAGATCCAAATACACGAAAGTAACTTCATTCACGTTTCGAACCGTTCATCACTTCAAATGGACTCTTGTTGGGCAGCGCTGTGTTCGGAATTCAATTTAGTGTGTGCGCAGCTGTCATAACAGCTTCAACCCACCACATTCTATCCTCCTCCATATGGCTCAACATCGAACGTGCCATTTCAGCAAGCGTTCTATTCATTCTCTCAGCCAATCCATTTTGCTGTGGAGTATATGGCACGCTTGTTTTGTGTATGATACAATGATTCACACAGTACTTGTTGAACCGGTAACTTGTAAACTCACCACCATTGTCACTTCTGATGCACTTGATCTTGCGATCCGTTTGTGTCTCCACCATCACGCGAAAGTCCTGAAAACGTTCAAACACTTGTGACTTCGCAGCGAGTAAGTACACATAGACGAATCGGCTACAGTCGTTAATAAATGTGAGGGCATAAAGGGCACCTTAGGTACCTGAGGTATGAAGAAACGGACTTTTCGTCTTTTTTCCACGTGAACACCCATCGCAAACACCGTCTTCGGTTGCCGACAATTTTGTAATACCGTCGCACGCCTTCATTACTTGATTAAGCTTGCTTGTCGATACGTGACCACGGCGAGCATGCCACGGTCCACTTTCATCATCTTTTTTGGTCGTGCTCTCGGCTTTGTACGCCTCTAATACCACATCCTGCTTCACATTCCACGCAAACAATTTTCCCACTCGATTAATCACTGCTACCGTAATCCCATTAAATGTTAGGACTGCTTGATTACGCTTGAACTGCACAAGCACACTTCGGGCTGTCAGTGCTGGTACAGATACAAGCTTCTTGTCCAATTTAGGCACATGAAGAACTTTCTTCAGCATAACTGTGCGGCCATTTCCAGTACAAATCGCACCGACCCCGTTCCTATCCCCACAAGATGCTGTCCATTAGCAACTTTGATGCTAATTGGGGTAATCAGATTCCCATACTCCACAAAATCACGCTCGTCATCAGTCATGTGACGGCTTGCACTACTATCCAGCAGCCAAGTTGCACTTGAATCCAATTTCTCGCTTGATGCTGAGAAAACAAATTCATCGCCAGATCTTGACTGTTTCACGCTGTGACTCTGCGAACTCTTGTGACCATGTTTTCCACAAGTAAAACACTTGCCTTGAAATCTTGCGTTGTCGTTCCTTCGTCTGAAAGCTTGGTTTCGATCTTTATCGTTCTGACGGCCATGGTGTCCTCGGTTTCCTTGAAAGCGTCGATTCACATTGCGTTGTGCGTGTGCTTTTAAAGCAGTTTCCTTCTTATCACGTTTCTGTAGCGTGTCATACTACCGCCGGAGCATCTCTTTTGCGTCCAACAGCGTCACGTTGCTGTGCGCCTCAATTATGCGCACCACATCATCATATTCAGATGATAAGCTTCTTAAGAGGAGTACTAGCTTCTCATCATCACCCATGCTGTCACCAGCAGCCCTGAGCTTCAAACAAAGCTCATCAAACTTCAGTAGGTGGTCCATTAGACTCGTACCAGTTTCCATCACAAATTCATGTAGTTGTTTCCGAAGTTGCACCCGATTGTGGAGGTTCTTCTTCGCAAAGAATGACCGCAATACCTCCCAAGCCTCAACGGCTGTCTCACATTCCCGAACCATACACTGATAGGTGGGTGAGAGTAACTTCACCAGCACAGCCAGAGCCTTCATATCGGCGACTTTCCACTCGGGTAATTCCCGTAGCACTGCCGACTCTGGCTTCACCGTTACACGATCCAATAGATCCTTGCGTGCAAGGGTCATGCGCGGGTTAAATTCTTACATAAAGTAGTTGTCACCCGTAAGGATATCATTGGGGGCCATCGCATTTGGGCTCATAACCTAAAACAACCAGACAACTACTTCTCAGTGCTTTAAAATGGAAAGTAGTATTAAGAGTTAAGACTACTGCTAAAATGCATATATAAATCCCCTCATAAAGTGATCGCTCATCCAGAATGTTCGAAGAGCCCTGTCCCTGCAAGTTGCCATAAACACGACACACAATTCATGTCGTGATACGTAAACCTCAACAGTGTGTACCGAGTACTGCACTACTTTGGCTTTCTCTGTTGTTGACGTAGTGTGTGGTGACTATCAACTGATGGACTGACGGGATTGTCGGTTGTTGTGCTGGAAATGCTCCTAGCAAACGAACGTAAAGAAGTTTGCTGTGGGTACAAATTTTTATTTCAGTACGTCCTCGGTACTCTTCATGTGATACAGAGAGATAAAAGCTGATTGTGATGCTGTTTGTTCATGAATTGGGTGTGCGTGTGTTGTTATGGATGTGGTTGTAGTAGTGACACTCTCAGCCCCATGAACCCGATATTAACGGCCTTACTCGAAGAAAGCACATTCAGTAACAGCAGATAATGCAACTGCGACTTGATTGATTCCGCACGAGCGGCTCACGACAATGGAGTCGCTGCGAAGTGACTGCTGGTGGGAAGAGCTTGTGGGGTTTGGCGTCTGCTTCCATTTCAACAAGACCATCGCGAAGCAGATTGTGAGGTTGTACGCAAAGCTCCTTACAGACCTGCATGCAATGAAATTCGCCATCGAGGCGGAGACTTGCCACTGGACGCATGTCGTGCTGCTCAAGAAGTTACAGACGCGATTCAATGTACTACAGGTGGAAGCAAATGATTGTGCTTGAGGACGTCCCGGTCGAGGCTGTTCATCCGTCACGAAGTAGGCTCTGCTCGCTTACAGGAATCTAGCAGAATGCGTAGTTCAAATGTGTCTGAAGCGACATTGCCGTATAGTAAAGGACACGTGTATTTCCCCACGAAGATGTGCAAGGGCTCTGTAGGCAGGGCAATTCTGACAGCATAATTAAACGATCTGGCCGGTCTGACATTGGAGGTGATAACATCGTTTGAACTCTTCTTATAGTACGAGAAAAAGTAAGACGGGACTTAATCGAGATGAATGCACCATGCGCTCGTAGTGAGCCAAGCATCTATTGCCGCGTTCATCAACAATGCTGCCGTGTTGGCATCTTTTCGCCAACATCTTCGGATGACGGTGACACGGCCTGTATTTATAGAGGGTGACATGTAACGGGGTGAACCGCTACATAACAATTTATAAGACATTGTTAATAGAATATAACTATAAGAGTTGTATTCTCAGAATATTGTCATAAGGACAAATATTCTGTAGCACTTACGAGTAGTTCCTAATTGGTTGATATAGACCATCAAATAACCAACGAAGACGCGCCACGACAGACGCACGCAATGAGTGGTGAGCAGATAACTGATTTACACATTTGTTTAGACATAGTTAGATAAAGATAAATAGTGATTTATTGCAGACATTAACTATTATAAATACAGTTCTACTTTTTACTTTAAACAATTACTCGCTTCTTCTTACCGTCTTCCTCTGCACGTACGAGTGTACGTGAAGTCACGAGGCACCGCCTTATTCTGTCATCAGAATAAGTAGCTTGTACTGTCACCAGTACAAGCTTCAGGGTGCCCCGCTACACCTGGTAGCACTTCGTAGTCCGTCCAAGGACCGCGTTCACATCCAACATGAATATGTTGGATGATGAAGATGACCAAAGCTTTCACGCTACGCGTGACGGCTACTCCCATTTGAGCGATGTCGAATGGGATGCGGTTGAACGAATGGGTTCGACCATGGGCATCCATGCTGTTAGCGTCATGCTAGAGGCTCTCAACAGAGATGCCCAACATGCTACTATCGCCAAGTTCATTCAAAATGAACTTGACGCTGAACGCGAGAAAGTAGCCTTGCTTCACCAACAAGATTCTCAACAAGCAGAGTTGTTGAGAGAACAGGGTGCTCAACAGTTTGAACTGTTGAGACAGCAGCAGGCTGCTGCTGGTGGGTCGATGCACTCGCGTCGACCCGAGACTTTGAAGATTGACATCTCCAAGTATAGGGGGGTCGAAGAAGAATCCCTCTTGAGATGGTTCGTCGAATTGGATGACGCCATAAGGGCGCGTCGCATCGACGACGGGGATGTGCAAGTTGCATTTGCCCAGTCAAATCTGGCAGGACGTGCCATGACTTGGGCACTGGGGCTCAAGTTGCACGACCCATATGCGTTTGGGTCGTTGAACGTCTTCAAGTCGCGGCTCAGACAAACGTTTGAACCGCCTAGAGCTGAGTTCAGAGCTCGAACCGAACTCTTGAAGCTCAAACAGGGTAAGCGTGATGTGCACGCTTACGCACAACATATACGACATCTCACGAGTTGTATAAGTTCCAATCCGGTTGATGAACACACGTTGGTTTCGGTGTTCATGCAGGGTCTTGCGGATGGTCCCGTCAAGACTCACCTGTTCCGTCTTGAACTAGATTTACTAGAACAATCCATTTCCATTGCGGAACAGGAAGACTTCAGTTTGAGACAGGCTCGCGCCAGCTCGACATCACATCGTCAACCGAGACGATATGACAACGGAGGTCCAGAGCCGATGGAACTCTGTTATATAGAGAGCGAGAAGGCTCGCTCTACAGACTACAAGAAGTTGCAGAGATGCAACAGATGTCAAAAGACAGGACACTACGCTTACGAGTGTAGTGCCCCTCGTCCAGTGTCTCGTAACACTGGGCGTAGTGACCGTCCACCCATGAGAAAGGGGCAGGGACGCGGGCCCGCTGTTGGTGCAAAAACGCAACAACGGGATGGACCGTCAAAAAACGGACAGGATCAGTAGGTGCAGAGCACCCTACTGGTCCAGCAACGTCAAGAGAATTTGTAGGCCTCTTGATAAAGGTTGCTCCCAACACACAAACGTTGTGCGTTGCTGCTCTAGGTAATGAGGTCTCACTCATTACCTTGAAACTCGAAGTGACGAATAAGTTGTCCCTTCGAGCTCTAGTCGATTGTGGGGCGTCCAACAATTTTGTGCAACGCCAATCGCTAGAATATGGTCACTTTAAGTTCAGTGAATGTGACACACCTCCTACGAGGATGACGGTACGTCTTGCGACAGGTGCATCCGTAACCGTCATGAAGCGTATAGTGAAGATCCACTATACGCTAGAAGATACCCAATATGACGTTGACTTTATCGTATTGGATTTGGATGACAAATTTGATGTCATCCTTGGAATACCGTGGCTCAGAAGGTACGAACCACGGGTAAACTGGCAACATCGAACAGTAACGATGCCTGCCGCTTGTTCATCAGGTGGCCATCTGATGAACGTTTTGGAGAGTCCACAAGCGTGTGGATGTACTACGAGTGAGTGCGATGGCCTCACTTGTGGTACGGTCGTTAGTACGACTGCACAAAACCTTAGTGTACCAAACGGTTACACTTCGGAGCAAAGTTCCGGCGGCTGTGAGGAAACATAGGCTGCGCCGAAGATCCACCACTCGAATAAGTCGGGTGGACTGGGACAAAGATGTATCCCTAGCGGGGAACATCTAGAAGAGAAACCATCGATCGCTCAGGTTAAGCGAAACGATAATCCTAGATCGACTGGAGAGTCTTTCGTAGAGGATCTCGCTGTGGTTGCGCAACCACAGCTAGAGGAAGTAAAGGGAATGAGTCCCAAGATTACAAATACGGCGGAAATAAGTTCCCCGAAACCCGCGGGAATAAGTCCCCGGGAAGCCGAAGGAATAAGTCCTTCGATGCCTGAGGGACTAAGTCCCCAGGAAATGACAGAGACATTGAATGTCCTAGTCAATGACGGATCAAGTGTAGGCGCTTTTACACTTGATCTGATTGCGCCTCCGAAGTTGACTTTGGAGATTACTCAGTTGCCAACGCTCGAACATAAAAGGTTCTTGCGTGATCTGCGTAGTGGCAAAGTCAAGCAGATCTGCGTACTCGTCGCTGACGACGAGTGTGTATACGACATAAGGTCAGCAACAGTGTTTACTGAGAACGAGAGAGTTCTCAGTAGTTCATCGATGGACGAGAGTGTCCTAGATGAAAAGACACGAGTTGAGCGATATGACTCCCAATCGTGGAAATCGCTCAAGACAAATCCTCTCTATGAAGATTTGGTTGAATCCAAGGATGTATTCCCTGAAACTGTTCCGTGCGAATTACCGAAGGATAAAGGTATTGGACACGAGGTCGAGCTTAAACCAGGCTCGAAGTACTGTGTCATGAAGCAGTGGCCACTGCCTCGTGAACAAGTACTTGCGATCGACAAGTTCTTTGCCGATCGTTTAGCTGCGGGCCATGTGAGGGAATCAACTTCCCCACATAGCTCTCCGACCTTCTGTGTGCGAAAAGCAACAGGAGGGTGGCGGATAGTGCATGCATTTAACAAGCTGAATGCTGCAACGTTACCGGCTCAGACGCCGATACCAAGGAAGGACGTAATCATTGATGGTATGTCAAAGAGTATCATCTTTTCGTCCATGGATTTGATGGATGGCTTCTATCAAATCCTTATGCGGGAACGGGACATACCCTATACCGCAGTTAGCACGCCTAGCGGCATGCTCTGGGAATGGCTAGTAATGCCACAAGGGCTTAGTAATGCCCCTGCCACGTTCAACAGATGCGTATCACATCTGTTGAGACCAGTACGAGAATTCGCGCCGAGTTATTTCGATGACGTATTCATCCATAGTCGAGCTATGGATGAAAAGTCGGACGTTGAGGTTCACAGATACTACGTCCGACAGGTTCTTACAATCATGCGAAAGCATCAATTGTATGCAAACCTCAAGAAGTGTATATTTGCAGCAAGCGAAATACCACTTCTTGGGTGCATCGTTGGTAAGAATGGTGTACGTCCTGATCCCGAAAAGATCAAGGCGATCACCGACTGGCCTGTACCAGTTGATGTCAAAGGTCTTCGAAAATTCTTTGGGCTAGCGGCGTATTTGCATAAGTATTCACGCAATGACGCCGAGATGACTGTACACCTCTCTCGTTTTTCGAAAAAGAACGAGAGGTGGTTATGGAACGCTGAATGTCAACGCTCCTTTGATGGTATCAAGCAGAGCTTGATACAATCCCCAGTCCTAGCAATAGCCGATCAGGACAGGCCATTTCATGTGGTCTGTGATGCCAGCGATTTCGCAATCGGCTGTGCATTAATGCAGTACGATCTTGAAGGCGTTGAACGCGTCGTCTGCTATCAGTCGCGTCAGCTGCAACCAGCTGAGCGGAACTATCCAGTGCATGACAAGGAACTCCTTGCCATGAAGTATGCACTCGCGAAGTTCAGAGTCTATCTATTAGGAGATAGACCCTTCATTGTTTACACTGACCATGCGTCATTACGCACGGCAGTGAACAGCCCGCACCTTTCACAACGAATGGCGCGGTGGTTGTCATTCTTTGCGGAATACAACTTTACGGTAGAGTACAAATCAGGACGACTTAATGTCGTCGCTGATGCACTCTCACGTCGTCCCGACTTTGAAACAGTCGCGAAACCCAACAGTGAGACAGTCACTGTTGCGGTTATGACGTCCTCAGTCCCATCTTCAACGTTGCATGATGATGTGAGGAGGGCATACGCCCAAGATGGTGAGATAGTGAAGTTGTTGACACATCTCTCCCAACCATCTCGAGAATCGTTGAAACGATTGTCGTCTGCGTATCGATCTGCATCAGATCGATACACTACTCGTAACGGTTTACTGTATTATACAGCCGTTACTGGTGACACACCACGTGTTGTCATTCCAGATGATACTGATCTGCGTTTGCGGACCATGTTCGAGTATCACGATGCTCCTATAGGAGGACATCGTGGCCGAGAGAAAACATATCTCACGGTAAGTCGATACTTTTACTGGCCCCGCCAGTATCAGTTTGTGCGAAAGTATGTTCGCGCACGCGAAGTCTGTCAACGAGTGAAGTCAAGTCCTTCACTGCGTGCACCTTTACAGCCTCTACCGGTTCCGGCTGAGTGCTGGGAATCCATCTCAATGGATTTCATCTTCGGGTTACCCAAAGACGCACGCGGGAATACGGGTATTCTCGTATTTGTTGACAGATTCAGCAAAATGGTACACCTAGTGGCTGTACCAGAGACAATCACGGCAAGTGGCTGTGCTTGTGTCTTTATTGACACCATCTTCCGACTTCATGGGTTGCCCCGTGAACTCGTATCAGACAGAGATCCACGATTCACTACTGATTTCTGGCGTTCCGTGTTCAAATCACTCGGAACGCGCTTGAAGATGTCAACATCTGATCATCCAGAGTCAGATGGTCAGACGGAACGTGCCAATCGTGTCCTTGAAGAGATACTTCGAGGATATGTACACTCCTTTAAGAGTTGGAGTGAGTTTTTGCCAATGGTAGAGTTTGCCATCAACAACTCGGTGCATGCGTCCACGACACATACACCGTTTTACGTGAATGGCTTGCGCCATCCGCGTGTACCCACCTTACTAGAGTGTAACTCTGGTTTAAGGGGGGGAGGGACTCGCGCGAGCAAAAACTGAATTGGTTCACGCTCATCACGCTCTGACGAAGAAGTCATTGCGTTTGATGCCGATATCTATAACATCGATATCGAAGAAGATGATGCCACTGAGAGTGCGGAAGCCCTCACTGAAGAAGATGATCCCAGTGAGAGTGCGGAAGCCCTCACTGAAGAAAAGGTTGATGTTGCTGCAGTGCGCTCACAGCACACTGAAGCTAACGAGTCATCAGATGAGTTCATACTGGCTCGTGAAACGGTAGTCCTTTTTGTGCAAGACTCCATCGCCGAAGCGGTGGATAAGCAAAAGCAAAACGCTGACAAGAATGGAAGGGCAAGCACTCTTTTCTATAATAAGGGTGACTTAGTCCTACTGTCTACGGTTAATCTACCAAAGCATGTAGTGACTAACTTGGGTAGCAGTAAACTACTACCCAAGTACACCGGCCCATTTCGTGTATTGTACCGCCTAGGCAATGCGTACACGATCGAGTTACCACGTAAGATGCGAACGCATCCCACGTTTTACGTTGGTCGGCTTAAGCCGTACCATCAGTACGCTGCTTCTTCCGATGAAGGACGCCCTTGCGCTCAAGCATCTCGCAGAGAGCCTTGTGCTCCCGATGGTGGGCATCAACAAGGGTCTGAAGAGCAGCTATCTCATCCCGAGACCGATCAGCAATCCCACGAGCTACCCTTAGCTCGTCACGAAGAGATGTCAGAGATCTCTCGTTCTCGAGCTGAGCAAAGTCAAACTCAGCTCGATGCTTCGAGACAGTGTCCGCCATTTGGAGACGCCTATTCCGCTCATGTTCGAGATCGTCGCGTAACCCTTGCGTTACGCGATCAAAGAAGCTCTCGGGAACACACCGATCCACATGATCGTGTGGAGAGCGTCTTTCCTCCTCCTCCACCTCTATTAGAGGACTCTCGCGGTGGCCAGCGCTATCTAGTTGAGCAGCTGTTGAACCACCGCGACGTGAACGGACGTCGGACGAGTTATCTCGTCCGGTGGCGCGGCTATCCCCCGTCCTGGGATTCTTGGGAGCCCCGCTACCAACTAATGATCTACGTACTGGGTCTGGTTGAGCAGTACGACGCGGCACATCCTGTGCCGCAGAAGGACCGCCGGAGAAAGTCTTCCCGGCACGTTCGTAAAAGGATTTCAGGTTGTCAATCCCTTCGTACATCTCAGTAGAGACACGTACGCGCCACCACGGGCTGGTAAGGAGGTAAACCTCCTTAGGTGCTCGTGCAGAGTTGTTCACACAACATGGGCACGAGTCTCCCCAAGAAAGGCAGGGTAATCCTTTCTCCCTTGACAGACGATGCAGCTTGTAGCGTGCACCTGTCGGGGTTCGCTTTTCAAACTTATCACGAGCTTTGATAAGTTTGTCGTTCCAAGCGTCACGACCTACATCCTCGAGGTTATGGATGTAGGCGTTCCACGCCTGAAGTAGTGAGGGACCATCACGTTTGTGATTCCCACTGTACCATCGATGTCTAAAGAAAGCATCGATGAAGAATTCATGTTCAGCGCGATAGCTTTTCGAACTGGGGTCAAGGTGATGGATCCTTGACGAATCGAACAATCGTGTTCGATAACGATCACTCGTCGTCGCCGACAAGCGATCCATGACCGACTTTGGAGGCAGCCATGTATTCATTTCGGGAGTGAGACGCAAGACATTGCGGTCCCGCTCTTCCTGCGATGTGCCGACAGAAGTAATGACCCCTTACTGTGAAGTGGTGTCAATAGGAGAACCGACACCACTGTTAGCGCCCGAGTCTCGTGACCTCGAGCGCCTTCGCTTCGGCGATGGTTCATCTGATTCATCAGATGAACCAAAGATGCTGCGACGCATAGCATCATCCATGCCACGCTTGGCAGGCGGCTTGGATTCAATCGCCGTCGATACGGGATCGTCTTCCGTATCAGGAGAGTATGAGACACCGAGCTCATACTTTGTGAAGACATGAGTGTCTTCATGACCAGCGCCTGCATCACCAAGTGACACAGGCTGGGTCACTTCAGCAACCGATGAGACATCAGTTGCTGTAGTTTCTGCTTCGGCGTCCGCACAGAGACGTGCGGACGCGCTCTCGGCGGCCTTGCTCGCGCATCGCATGGGCTTGTTAACCATGCGATGAGATGTTGGAAAGTGGACGCGGACCAACAGGTGCAAACCCTGTCCCAAATGATTTGGGACGAGTATCCATTTAGTCAATCAGTCACTAAAGTGACTGATGGTTAAGGGGGGGGTGATGTAACGGGGTGAATCGTTACATAACAATTTATAAGAAATTGTTAATAGAATATAACTATAAGAGTTATATTCTCAGAATATTGTCATAAGGACAAATATTCTGTAGCACTTACGAGTAGTTCCTAATTGGTTGATATAGACCATCAAATCAACCAACGAAGACGCGCCACGACAGACGCACGCAATGAGTGGTGATCAGATAACTGATTTACACATTTGTTTAGACATAGTTAGATGAAGATAAATAGTGATTTATTGCAGACATTAACTATTATAAATACAGTTCTACTTTTTACTTTAACCAAGTACTAGCTTCTTCTTACCGTCTTCCTCTGCACGTACGAGTGTACGTGAAGTTACGAGGCACCGCCTCATTCTGTCATCAGAATAAGTAGCTTGTACTGTCACCAGTACAAGCTTCAGGGTGCCCCGTTACAGTAGCTAACAATGGCAAACGAGGAAGCATGCACACGATAATTATCGGTTCATGGCTCGTCTTCGTTTGCGATTCTTTCGAACGGAAACAGCACACATTGTGATCATCGGTTCATGACAGCACTCCGAGACAGGCGGATTCGAGATGACCATAAGGTAAGTTTAGATACGGGCCTTACAATTTAGTATAGTAGCTGCTCAGCGAGTAAAGGTTGGCAGTCGACTAAACGCAAGGAAGGATGCACGGAAGCAAATGGAGATTAAGTTCAAAACAACTGCCCACCCAAACGAGTAGATACGCAATATTGAATTAGACGATGCTATACGAATCAAACTGATCTCCTCTTTGATGTTTGTCACGCACATTATGGGCAGGAGGACTATACGGCTTATAACATGACAACCCGTGCAATGATGGTAGAGGCTGCGTGTAACGGGACACCCTGAAGCTTGTACTGGTGACAGTACAAGCTACTTATTCTGATGACAGAATAAGGCGGTGCCTCGTAACTTCACGTACACTCGTACGTGCAGAGGAAGACGGTAAGAAGAAGCTAGTACTTGGTTAAAGTAAAAAGTAGAACTGTATTTATAATAGTTAATGTCTGCAATAAATCACTATTTATCTTTATCTAACTATGTCTAAACAAATGTGTAAATCAGTTATCTGCTCACCACTCATTGCGTGCGTCTGTCGTGGCGCGTCTTCGTTGGTTGATTTGATGGTCTATATCAACCAATTAGGAACTACTCGTAAGTGCTACAGAAAATTTGTCCTTATGACAATATTCTGAGAATATAACTCTTATAGTTATATTCTATTAACAATTTCTTATAAATTGTTATGTAACGATTCACCCCGTTACATCACCCCCCCTTAACCATCAGTCACTTTAGTGACTGATTGACTAAATGGATACTCATCCCAAATCATTTGGGACAGGGTTTGCACCTGTTGGTCCGCGTCCACTTTCCAACATCTCATCGCATGGTTAACAAGCCCATGCGATGCGCGAGCAAGGCCGCCGAGAGCGCGTCCGCACGTCTCTGTGCGGACGCCGAAGCAGAAACTACAGCAACTGATGTCTCATCGGTTGCTGAAGCGACTCAGCCTGTGTCACCTGGTGATGCAGGCGCTGGTCATGAAGACACTCATGTCTTCACAGAGTATGAGCTCGACGTCTCGTACTCTCCTGATACGGAAGACGATCCCGTATCGACGGCGATTGAATCCAAGCCGCCTGCCAAGCGTGGCATGGATCATGCTATGCGTCGTAGCATCTTTGGTTCATCTGACGAATCAGATGAACCATCGCCGAAGCGAAGGCGCTCGAGGTCGCGAGACTCGGGCGCTAATAGTGGTGTCGGTTCTCCTATGGACACCACTTCACAGCGAGGTGCCAGTACTTCTGTCGGCACGTCGCAGGAAGAGCGGGACCGCAATGTCTTGCGTCTCGCTCCAGAAAAGAAGGCATGGATGCCTCCAAAATCCGCCATGGATCACTTGTCGGCGACGACGAGTGGTCGTTATCGAACACGGTTGTTCGATTCGTCAAGGATCCATCACCTTGACCCCATCGCGAAAAACTATCGCGCTGAACATGAATTCTTCATCGATGCTTTCTTTAGACATCGATGGTACAGTGGGAATCACAAACGTTATGGCCCCTCACTGCTTCAGGCGTGGAACGCCTACATCCATAACTTTGAGGATGCAGGTCGTGACGCTTGGAACGACAAACTTAACAAAGCTCGTGATAAGTTTGAAAAGCGAACCCCGACAGGTGCACGCTACAAGCTGCATCGTCTGTCAAGGGAGAAAGGATCACCCTGCCTCTCTTGGGGAGACTCGTGCCCGTGTTGTGTGAACAACTCTGCACGAGCACCTAAGGAGGCTTACCTCCTTACCAGCCCGTGGTGGCGCGTACGTGTATCTACTGAGATGTACGAAGGGATTGACAACCTGAAATCCCTTTACGACCGTGCCGGAAAGACTTTCTCCGGCGGTCCTTCTGCGGCACAGGATGTGCCGCGTCGTACTGCTCAACCAGACCCAGTACGTAGATCATTAGTTGGTAGCGGGGCTCCCAAGAATCCCAGGACGGGGGATAGCCGCGCCACCGGACGAGATAACTCGTCCGACGTCCGTTCACGTCGCGGTGGTTCAACAGCTGCTCAACTAGATAGCGCTGGCCACCGCGAGAGTCCTCTAATGGAGGTGGAGGAGGAGGAAAGACGCTCTCCACACGATCGTGTGGATCGGTGTGTTCCCGAGAGCTTCTTTGATCGCGTAACGCAAGGGTTACGCGACGATCTCGAACATGAGCGGAATAGGCGTCTCCAAATGGCGGACACTGCCTCGAAGCATCGAGCTGAGTTTGACTTTGCTCAGCTCGAGAACGAGAGATCTCTGACATCTCTTCGTGACGAGCTAAGGGTAGCTCGTGGGATTGCTGATCGGTCTCGGGATGAGATAGCTGCTCTTCAGACCCTTGTTGATGCCCACCATCGGGAGCACAAGGCTCTCTGCGAGATGCTTGAGCGCAAGGGCGTCCTTCATCGGAAGAAGCAGCGTACTGATGGTACGGCTTAAGCCGACCAACGTAAAACGTGGGATGCGTTCGCATCTTACGTGGTAACTCGATCGTGTACGCATTGCCTAGGCGGTACAATACACGAAATGGGCCGGTGTACTTGGGTAGTAGTTTACTGCTACCCAAGTTAGTCACTACATGCTTTGGTAGATTAACCGTAGACAGTAGGACTAAGTCACCCTTATTATAGAAAAGAGTGCTTGCCCTTCCATTCTTGTCAGCGTTTTGCTTTTGCTTATCCACCGCTTCGGCGATGGAGTCTTGCACAAAAAGGACTACCGTTTCACGAGCCAGTATGAACTCATCTGATGACTCGTTAGCTTCAGTGTGCTGTGAGCGCACTGCAGCAACATCAACCTTTTCTTCAGTGAGGGCTTCCGCACTCTCACTGGGATCATCTTCTTCAGTGAGGGCTTCCGCACTCTCACTGGCATCATATTCTTCGATATCGATGTTATAGATATCGGCATCAAACGCAATGACTTCTTCGTCAGAGCGTGATGAGCGTGAACCAATTCAGTTTTTGCTCGCGCGAGTCCCTCCCCCCCTTAAACCAGAGTTACACTCTAGTAAGGTGGGTACACGCGGATGGCGCAAGCCATTCACGTAAAACGGTGTATGTGTCGTGGACGCATGCACCGAGTTGTTGATGGCAAACTCTACCATTGGCAAAAACTCACTCCAACTCTTAAAGGAGTGTACATATCCTCGAAGTATCTCTTCAAGGACACGATTGGCACGTTCCGTCTGACCATCTGACTCTGGATGATCAGATGTTGACATCTTCAAGCGCGTTCCGAGTGATTTGAACACGGAACGCCAGAAATCAGTAGTGAATCGTGGATCTCTGTCTGATACGAGTTCACGGGGCAACCCATGAAGTCGGAAGATGGTGTCAATAAAGACACAAGCACAGCCACTTGCCGTGATTGTCTCTGGTACAGCCACTAGGTGTACCATTTTGCTGAATCTGTCAACAAATACGAGAATACCCGTATTCCCGCGTGCGTCTTTGGGTAACCCGAAGATGAAATCCATTGAGATGGATTCCCAGCACTCAGCCGGAACCGGTAGAGGCTGTAAAGGTGCACGCAGTGAAGGACTTGACTTCACCTCGTTGACAGACTTCGCATGCGCGAACATACTTTCGCACAAACTGATACTGGCGGGGCCAGTAAAAGTATCGACTTACCGTGAGATATGTTTTCTCTCGGCCACGATGTCCTCCTATAGGAGCATCGTGATACTCGAACATGGTCCGCAAACGCAGATCAGTATCATCTGGAATGACAACACGTGGTGTGTCACCAGTAACGGCTGTATAATACAGTAAACCGTTACGAGTAGTGTATCGATCTGATGCAGATCGATACGCAGACGACAATCGTTTCAACGATTCTCGAGATGGTTGGGAGAGATGTGTCAACAACTTCACTATCTCACCATCTTGGGCGTATGCCCGCCTCACATCATCATGCAACGTTGAAGATGGGACTGAGGACGTCATAACCGCAGCAGTGACTGTCTCACTGTTGGGTTTCGCGACTGTTTCAAAGTCGGGACGACGTGAGAGTGCATCAGCGACGACATTAAGTCGTCCTGGTTTGTACTCGACCGTAAAGTTGTATTTCGCAAAGAATGACAACCACCGCGCCATTCGTTGTGAAAGGTGCGGGCTGTTCACTGCCGTGCGTAATGACGCATGGTCAGTGTAAACAATGAAGGGTCTATCTCCTAATAGATAGACTCTGAACTTTGCGAGTGCATACTTCATGGCAAGGAGTTCCTTGTCATGCACTGGATAGTTCCGCTCAGCTGGTTGCAGCTGACGCG